GACGGGCCTCCCAGGCCAGTCTCAATGGGCCCGGGGATCTCAAGCTCTCTCCCAACGATACACAAGATCCGAAGGTGCTTTACAACATATTCTGCCTCAACTCAGTTTCATTCCTAATTCAGCCTAGGGCCTACAGATCATTCCTAGCACACCAGAAAAATACTGCACTCTGCCTCTACAGCTAAAAATGAAACAAAAGGAAATCTAGCTTTAAAAATCTACTGCAAATTGCATCATCTTTGCAATCTTTAAAAAAAGTACAAATATAAGAATTTTAAATTATTTTTATACATCAGCATAAATTTTAATTTACATTTAATTTACATCTTAATTGAGAGGTAGCATACCTTGCTTTTCTTTTGCACCATAGATGGCCTGGGGTAAGACTTAGTATTTGGGCCTGAGGCCAAGCAAGACACCTCCAAGAGCTATGTCATCCCACTCCCACACAGTACCCTGAAATCACACCTAAGAGCATCCAGAATGGCCCAAGTCAAAAGTTCCAACCACCTGACCTGCAGGACTTAGGGTTATTCCTGCAAACATTTTAAGATCACTAGAAAATAAAAGAATCAAAGAAAATAATTCACATTTCTTACTCAGTATTTCACTAGGTTTCTGTGTCTGAAATCAGGTGCCACCACACGATCATAGGACCTTGATATTTACAAGTAATGAAAGATTCTTTACATAGTACATTGGCCACATTCCAGTTTGAGAATCTGCCTCTACATATTAAAACTCTCAAAATGTTACTTATCAATCAGGTAGTTATTAAGAACCAACCAGATGTTCCATACGACGATGGATGGTAAGGAGGAGACTTCAGTGACTGTGCCAAGAGCTTATGAAATTTAGCAGTCCTGATTGCTACCACAGTATGACAGACTGTTAGATCTGCTAGTGGGGCTCAGTGAACACAATGGGATTCGGTCTCCTACACCAGGGACTTTAACAAATTGCAGTGTACAGATCAGGATTTCTTTTTTAAGTCATGGTCCTTTCAGCTATTGTTGTAAGATAATTATGGCACCTGGCATTCAATCTCTGTATTAAGTAGTTCCTATACATATGAAGAGTACAGAAATAATTTAATATAGAAAGCAAAACGCGACAGAGCCAAACAAATTAGAATTTAAAATTTTTCACTGGGACTCTATAGAGCATGATACAGACTCCCTCTGCTGGTGCCTAATAGCAGCTCAGGACACCAAAAAAAAAAAAAAAAAAAAAAAATCACTGACAAAAGAACAACAGAAGCCAAAGGCTAATCTCAATTCACTTCTATTTAGATTGGGGGATGTTTCACAGCAGATATATTTATGGACCAATCAAAGACAACCCTAAAAAAGATTGAGTTTTATTGCAAATGCAAAAAAAAAAACCCAAAAAACAAAAAAACAAAAAACCCCCAGCAAATTGTAAGTCTCAATTATTGTGCTATTAAAACATAGATAATTTAAAATTTATTTTCATCTGGACTGCATTGTGTGATTTTTAGCAGCATATTTTCACTCTAAAATAGACGTCTCTTTGTTTTCATTTTGGTTCAAATTAAATTATTTTTCATCTGATAACTTCACAAAAAGAACGGATCAAAGATCAGAAGCGAGGGACGCCTGGGTGGCTCAGTGGGTTAAGCCTCTGTCTTCAGCTCAGGTCATGATCTCGGGGTCCTGGGTCGAGTCCCGCATCGGGCTCTCTGCTCGGCAGAAAGCCTGCTTTCTCCTCTCTCTCTGCCTGCCTCTCTGCCTGCTTGTGATCTCTGTCTGTCAAATAAATAAATAAAATCTTTAAAAAAAAAAAAAAAAGATCAGAAGCGAAAGTTGACCTGTGATTAATCCACAGAGCACACAAATCACACAGGGTTATCTGAAAGAACAGAATGGTATTAGCTAGTTATAACGATCACCATAGCTCGCTTTTCACAATACTATACTTCTATAAAGCTCATGAACCTTTAGTGTGCCCTAAATGCAACTAATATACTAAAATAGATTTACATATAATGAAACAGCAGACTTCCAACTTCCAGTAGAGGCAGAGTAGTTTGGTTAGAAAAACCCTGTCACAGTATAATTATAAATTTTGGACAAAAGATGAGAAATTCATCTTATGAATTAAGATAACTAGAAAACAGTAAAGACTAGATAACTAGAAGATAACTAGATAAGATAACTAGAAAGCAGTAGAGACTGACCAAAATCAGGGAGAAACCTCAATTCCTGAGATTGGGGATTTGCGACATTTTGTTCGATCCACAAACAGTTCAGATAGCCTCACCTTACTGGCTCTGAGTTGTCAGAGGACAGTTCAGGGCTGGCAGAGAACCCAACAGGGAAAGGCAGAAGGAGTAAAGTCCAAAACGTGCCTATACAATCCACCCAGCATTTCTGTTTCCTGCTAAAACTACACATGGAGACCCCAGAGGGATCCAGCAATAAAGCAGCAACTGGAAGCTGAAAAGACTGCGCAGAGATTTCAGCTAGAGCCCAACAAGGAAGACAAGAGTTTGTAATGTGAGTTGAGGCTTGCATTTGCTAGAACAAAAACCACATTTCAGAGCAATACAAAAGAATCCAGAGTTTCTACAATATATTAGTAATATCCACTATCCAGTAACCAAACACTAAGTATAGCAAGAAAAAGGTGACCCACACTAAAAAATAAATAAATAAATAAATAAATAAATAAATAAATAAAATGCAGTCAACAGAAAACAACTCCAAGGGGTGCCTGGGTGGCTCAGTGGGTTAAAGCCTCTGCCTTCGGCTCAGGTCATGATTCCAGGGTCCTGGGGTGGAGCTGGCATTGGGTTCTCTGCTCAGTGGGGGCCTGCTTCCTCCTCTCTCTCTCTGCCTGCCTCTCTGCCTACTTGTGATCTGTCAAATTAAATAAATAAATAAATAAATAAATAAATAATCTTAAAGAAAAAAGAAAACAACTCCAAGATGATCCAGTTGGTGCAATTAGGGGTGACAAAAGACCTGTATCTAGACTCTATAAAAAAGGAAAACTTAATGATAAAAATAAACCAATTTTTTTTTTAAAGGAGCAAAAGACTTAAGTAAAAATAGAAAAAAGATTTACAATGGCCAGTAGGTACAAATAAAGAGTTCAACATTTGTCATCAGGGAAATGCAAGTTAATGCTATAATGAGATGTCACTTTGCCACTGAAATGGCTAAAATTAAGACGACCTATAACACTACATATAGAGGACCCAGAATTTTCACACATTGCCAGAGGGCATGTAAATTGGTACAGCCAGTCTGGGAAAAGGTTTGGCAGTTTTTCAAAACGTTAACAATGTACTCAGCTATTAATCCAAATATCTACAAAGACTTACAAACAAATATTCAAAGCAGCTGTATTCACAATGGCCAACACTGAGACAACCAGAGAATGAATTTTTAAAAAATGGTGGTGAATACATACAGTAGAGCACTACTCCACAAGAAACAATAAACTATCAACACATGGCACAACACGGATGAAACTCACAGTTTAATAGGTTAGTGAGAAGCTGGATACAAACAAGTACACACTTCATGACTACATTTATATGAAGTTTAAGCGAGACAAAACTAAGGTAAAAAAATAAGGACAGAGATAAGTAATTAAAAAAATATGGGTCAAACGAGTTTAGAATTGACAGGCAAAGGAAATAGAGGTTTGCTTCAAGTGTTGAAACAGGACGTAACTTACCAAGTGGGATTTAATACTTTCTGGAGATTAAATTTTATTTTTTAAAACGTATTTTTTTAATTTAATTTTTTCAGTGTCCCATAAAACTTATTTTTAAATAAAAACTTCTCTAGGATGTTTCTGACCTGATATGCTTTAAAGAGCTTCTAAACAGAGGTGATGGGTATCAAAGTTTCTAGAGCAAATGAAGATAAAGGCATGAATATTGCCTGGTGACAATATAACCTCTTTATTTTTTTAAAGATGTTATTTATTTATTTCACAGACAGAGATCACAAGTAGGCAAAGAGGCAGGCAAAGAGAGAGAGAGGAAGGGAAGCAGTCTCCCCGCTGAGCAGAGAGCCCAACTTGGGACTCGATCCCAGGACCCTGGGATCACAACCTGAGGCGAAAGCAGAGGCTTTAACCCACTGAGCCACCCAGGCACCCAATATAACCTCTTTAAAAGTGGTTCTGATTTCAAGTAGAAGAGAACATAGATGTCAGAGGAGGACCTAAGATTTACAATGTGAATAATCTTTTTATTTTATTTTATTATTTTTAATATTTTATTTATCTGTCAGAGAGTGAGAGAGAGAGAGAGGGTGTGCACATGAATAGGGGGAGGGGCAGAGGGAGAAGCAGGCTCAGAGCTGAGCAAAGAGCCTGAAGTGGGATTCCATCCCAGGACCCCGGGATCATGACCTGAGCTGAAAGCAGATGCTTAACCAACTGACCCACCTGGGGGTGCCCCCCCCTTTTTTTTTTTTAAAGAATTTTACTTATTTATCTGAGAGAGAGAGAGAGAGTAGAGCAAGAGAGAGAGACAGCACAAGCAGGGGGAAGGGGCAGAAGGAGAGGGAGAAGCAGACTCCCCGCTGAGCAGGGAGCCTGATGTGGGGTTCAACCCTAGGAACCCTGCAATCATCACCTGAGTTGAAGGCAGATGCTTAACCATCTGAGCCACTGAGGCGCCCCAGGTGTGAATAATTTCAATTTTTTATTAACATATAATGTATTATTTGCCCCAGGGGTACAAGACTGTGAATCGTCAGGCTTACTTCGCAGCACTCACCATAGCACATATCCTCCAGTGTGAATAATTTTAACACAAGTTAAAAAATAGGATTAATAGCTATTAAGAATGTTATATATCTGATACAATGTTGAACTTACTTCAAATACAGGGTTTTTACTTTGCTATTAATTTTTTATTCTGACTACAGTAACTGCCCTATCCTAACTTTCTATTAAAACATGTTTATTAAACGGGGTAAAAGTTCCTGGTAATAACAAGTTCCAGCATGCATTACCTTGTCCGGAAGGGTTTGCTGCCATATCTTCCTATTTTGTTTCAGCTATGCTCGGTGGCAACTGGTCAGCACTTTACAGTCCCCTGTAGAAAAATATGTGTACACATATATTAAGTATACCATACTTTAGTAACAAACTAAAAGTTGTCAGGAACAGCTAGCCTCCCTACAATGAAACGTTTTCAGGTTTTTTTTTTTTTTAATCTCTTCAGAAATATGCATCTGAAAAGTGTACAGACTTAAATCACAAATTTAAATTCGGCAAAAGCCCCTCAAGTATTTAATTAGAACATTAAGGTTCAATGTTTACTCTTGCAGATGTTGATACCAACATTTAGCATTGCTGTCTTTAATATTACAATGTATTACATTACATTGTATTTACCAAACACTACCAATGTATCAACCAACTGATAGCATCAATACAATCAGTGCTAGACAGGAAAACAAACAAACAAACAAACAAACAAAACATTCCTCTATGGTCCTTCTTTATTCACGTAAAAAATATATCCAGCAACTACTATGTATACTGAAAGCTAAAAAGGAAAACGCGCCTAGAATTCATCAAGTACATACTCGGCACCATACACTGTGCAAGATGCTTGAAATTCTTTTATTTAACACCACTTTATAGATGGGGAGATCCGTGCCCAAAGCCACAAAGCTAGTAAGAATACTTTGGGCTGTTAGTTTCCCAACTTTGTGGGTTTTGTATCAGGCCTTGGGGAGATCGCAAATGAGAAGACCCTACCCCTCAAGGGACAGAGAGTGCCAGAGGGAAAATACACTCTCCTTCAAACAATCCTACTGAAGAGTTTAACAAACGCGCTCTTTAAAAGGCGCAAACAGTGCTCCGGAAGCAGAGAGGAACTGATTCTATTGGCGTGATGAGGGATGCCTTTAGGGGAACCCGGGAAAAGTACAAGGGCTGGCAAACAGATTTCGGTTTTGAACAAAACATCCTTAGGTGCTCCTGCAGAAGCACAGGGCGAGCCAAGCCGGTTGGGAGAAGAGGAAAGAGGGCCATCTAGTGAACGGAAACGTAAAGCAGGGATGTGACAGAGCGGCACCTGCTTCTCAAAGGGTCCTGGCAGGAGGGCGTGGAGCGCAGGCTGGGCGGGGGCTGCGGCCAACAGCATCCGGAGAAAGAGAAGTGAGGAAGGTGGGGAGGCGGCTACCCTAGGGCAACAAAGCAGCAGCAGATCCCCGCCGGGACCACACACTTCCCTCCCCCGCCGCCGTCAGGCGCTCCTACTTACCAGGGCCAAGAGAGCACCCAGGACCCTCCTCGCCGTCCGAACGCTCTCTCAAAGGGGGCGCGACCACTTAGAGACCTGCAAAAAGAGCCCAACGTGCGGCTCTACAACCTTCCCGCCCCCGCTGCGCTTCCGCCTCCTGCCTGACGTACACCCGAGGGAGCGGAAGTTCCGCCTCCCGCATGCGTCCAGCGGCAGCTGCCCGCAGCGATCCGTGTTTTAACTGCAGCACCGTGCAGAAGGCCACTTCCTTTCCGAAGAGTGGCAGCCGAAGAGGCGCATGGGAGATGCAGGCTGCGCTGTTGGGGGCGGAGCGGGCCCAGGCGGGGCACGGAGACCCTTGGCGCTGACTAGGCGGGCAGGGGCGGGGCCGACACTAGCCGGGTCCCTAGCACCGCGAGTTACCCTTTTTTCAAGGCCATTATGGTTCAGAGAAAAGTCTCCAGCCCGGCGGGGCCTGAGACGATAGGAATGCACTTCCCCTGGGATGAGGAGAGGGCCAAACTTCACAGGCTGGGCAGGCTTTCGAGATTGAACAACCATCTGGGGTTGTGCGCCACACACATCTTCAAATCCCAGGGATTTGTTTTGTTTTTTAATAGTTCGTGTAATTATACATAAGAAAAGCACAAAACGTGCAGAAATGTTTGCTACTGTGCGATAATGTGTTCAAGAAATGGCTGTGTCACATCTCGGAACACGAAGACCCTTCTAGTGGGTTCACTGATGCGTGATTGCCGCGCAATGGATCGACTTATTTACATTGAAAGGTAACCGTGTACTGATGTGCGTTACCAGTTCTGTGGTCGGTAACCCCGGTTACGCACATTTTCTAGAATTTGAATATATGTTCTTAATAATCGGTATTTGCTCAGTGGTAAATGTTTGTAATGCGCAATTTTGTTGTGCACGGATCTAGGACTGAAGTCATAACACTACCAAGCATTTATTGAGTGGCTTCTGCGCGCTAGGTTCTTGTGCATCAGCTCCGGTCCTGTCATTTCCTGATTTATGTATGATGTATATTCACATTTTCACCTATGAAGCTCAGAAATGTTGAGTTACTTTAGGTCAAGTGGCAAGCTGAGTTTCGAAGGAGTGAATGTTTGCCAGATGCTAAGGCCCACATTCTTAGAACCCACACGTTGTCTCTACTCTGCGGGAAGGAATTCCTTTGAGGCCAGGTCTTGTTGACATCTTTAATACAGATATAAAGTATTGGCCAGGGCTGCTTTTCAATTAAGAGGCCTTCCTGAGGGGCGCCTGGTCAACTCAGTTGAAAGAGCATGTGACTCTTGATCTCCAGGTCATGAGTTTGAGCCCCATGTTGGGTGTAGAGATTACTTAAAAATAAAATAAAATATTTACAAAAAAGGGGAGGTATTTTTGAATCCTGGGCTGACTGAAAAGACAACTGGGATGTATATGGCTGACAAAACCTTAATGAAATTATATTTTGGTTTAAGGTGGTCTGACTAGACAATACAGAAGCCAAGGCATAAGAAAGCTCCAGTCTAAGTCTGATTTCTTTGTTTTTTTTTTTTTAATTTTTATTTAAATTCCAGTTAACATACAGGGTAGTATTAGTTTCAAGTGTAGGATTTAGTGATTCATCACTTACATACAACACACAGGGCTCATCGCAAGTGTCCCTCCTTAATGCCTGTCCCCCATCTGGCCCATCCCCCACTCACCTCCCTCCAGCAGCCCTCAGTTTGTTCTCTGTAGTTAAGAACTGTTTTCTGGTTTGCCTCTCTCCCTGCCCCCTCCCATGTTCATCTGTCTCTTAAATTTCACATATGCATGAAATCATACGGTATTTGTCTTTCTCTGACTGACTTATTTTGCTTAGCGTTATACTCTCCAGGTTCATCCATGTTGTTGCAAATGGCAGGATTTCATTCCTTTTTATGACCGATATTCTTTTGTGTATATATACCACAACTTCTTTATCTGTTCATCAGTCAATGGATATTTGGGCTCTTTCCATAATTTGGCTAGTGTTGATAATGCTGTTGTAAACACCAGGGTGCACGGGTCCCTTTGAATCACTATTTTTGTATCCTTTGGGTAAATACCTAGTAGTGTGATTGCTAGGTCATAGGGTAGTTCTATTTTTGACTTTTTGAGGATCCTCCATACTGTTGTCCAGAGTGGCTACACCAGTTTGCATTCTCCCCAACAGTGCAAGAGGTTTCTCCTTTCTCATTCTCCCAACATCTGTTGTTTCCCGTGTTAATTTTAGCCATTCTGACAGGTATAAGGTTCTAGTTTGATTTGTATTTCCCAGCTGATCAGTGATGTTGAGCATCTTTTCATGTGTCTGTTACCAGTCTACGTCCAATGGACATTCTGAAAGAAGCTCATTTATGGTGAAAACAACAACAACAAAAAAGAGTTCTACCTCCAGAACAGTATTTTGTAATTTGCTGGCAAATTCAGCCTCCAAGCATTGGGAGAACATTATCAGGAGAAAGATAAATTTAATTTGCTTCTAATTTTTTTTTTTTTTTTGCCCTTTATTTGGTGGGTGTTAGCCCTTGAACTTCCTCTGTCTTCTCCGTGGGAGTTTTGGAACTTCTACCTCATAGAATTTGGACATATCGGTTCATAGTGGGTCAGTTTACTTGGGTTCAAATCCTGGCTCTAACACTTAATGGTTGTGAGCCCTTGTTTAACCTTTCAATGCTTCAGTTCTGTCGTCTGTAAAAAGGAAATAAAAATTAAATGAATAACCACTTCACATCCATTGGATGGCTACTATTAAAAAAACAGAAAATAAAATAATAAATGTCAGAGAAATCGAAACTCTTGTGCACTGTTGGTGGGAATATAAAATGGTACAACTATAGTGGAAAACAGCCTGGTGGTTACTCGAAAAAATTAAAAATAGAATTACCATATGATTTAGCAATTCCATTTCTGGATGTATACCCAGATAATTGAAATCAGGGCCTCAAAGACATATCTGCACACCTGTATTCATAGCAGCACTATTCACAGTAGCCAGGAGGTGGAAGCAACCCAAGACCATGGATAAGATGAATAGATAAACAAGATATGGTAAATACATACACTATAATATTATTCAGCCTTAAAATAGAAGGCAATTCTGATATATGCTATATAGCATATATAAGGATGTTATGCCAAGTGAAATACACCAGTCGCAAAGGGCAAATACTGTGTGATTCCACTTATCTGAGGTACTTAAAGTAGCCAAAATCATAGAAAGTAGAATGGTGTTTGCCAAGGGCTGGGGAGAAAGGGAGAATGGAGAGTTGTTGTTTAATGGGTTATAGAGTTTCAGTTTGACAAGATGAAAGGAGTTCTGGAGATGGCTGGTGGGGATTGTGGCCACATTTTCCTGCACATCTTGGTATGTGGTCATAGATCAGCTGATGAATACACAGATCCTCCATATCAACTAGGGAAAAGTCCAAGACCAAAGGAGGGCATATGGCAGTCCTGTGACTCTGCTGATTGATAAGGAAAGGCCCTGTAGCAGTCTACAAAGACATTATGCTTATTATGGGCCTTTACAATCAAAGTAGAGAGTTGAGAATAGCTCCCAGCTTCCAGTTGGAGCCACCTTAACTATCTTTTGCTATTTTGTGATTAAATATTTATGGAAAATGCATTAGGCTAGACAGCCTTTAAAATGAAGTGTGTAGAAGTTTGAGACAATTGCCATATTAATTATCTACTGCTTGTAACAAATTACCTCCAAACTTGGCAATTTTTAAAAAGATTTATTTACTTATTTATTTATGTGAGGGGGGTGGTGAGGCAGAAGGAAAGGGAGAGACAGAACCCCAAGCAGACTCCCCACTGAGCACAAAACCCAGCACAGGGCTGGATCTCAGGACCCTGAGATTATGACCTGGGCCAAAACAAAGAGTCAGACACTTAACCAACTGAGCCACCCAGGCACCCCCAAACTTGACAGTTTATAACAACAAATGTACATTCTCTTACAGTTTCTGAGGGACTGGGATGTAGGCAGCATGGCAGGGTGATTCTGGCTTATGGTCTTTTGTAAGGTTGCAGCCAAGATCCTAGCTGGGATTATAATCATTTGAAAGCTCAGTTGGACAGAAGGGTCTGCCAGCAAGTTCACTCAAGTGGCTAAGGGCAAGAGGCTTCAGTGCCTCAACCTGTGGGCCCTTCCGTGGGGTTGCTCATGACATGGACGACTCACAGCTGGAGCACGTGATACAAGAGGGAGAGTGAGTGACCAAGACAGAAGCCACAGCGTCTTTTATCACCCAATCTTAGGAGTGACATAACATTCTTCTGTCATATACTGTTGCTCACAGACAGACCCTGATCCATTGCAGAAGGGACTGCAAAGCATACAGGGAGATGGGACCACTGGGGACTCAGAATACCATAGACTAGGTGGCTTCTAAAGGATGATTTTATTTCTCCCAGTTCTGGAGGCTGGGAAGTTCAAGATCAAGGCAGCAGCATGATCTGGCTCTGGTGAGGGCCTGCTTTCCCATCCATAGACAGCTGTCTTTTTGCAGTATCCCTATATGGTAGCAGCATTGCCCGGTGGACTGGGGAGACCTTGGGCCCTGAGGCCTCCACCCAGCCCATTCCCCCAGGTGTCACTGGAGGCTCTTGGTTTCCTGCAAGAGACAGACCAGACACAGTGGTTGAGCAGTGTAAGCGAAGAGTTTATTTTTTTTATTTTTTTAAAGATTTTATTTATTTATTTGACAGAGAGAGAGAGATCACAAGTAGGCAGACAGGCAGGCAGAGAGAGAGGAGGATGCAGGCTCCCCGCTGAGCAGAGAGCCTGATGCGGGCCTCGATCCCAGGACCCTGGGATCATGACCTGAGCTGAAGGCAGAGGCTTTAACCCACTGAGCCACCCAGGCGCCCCTAAGTGAAGAGTTTATTAAAGCGAGAGTATGCTCTTAAGTAAATAAATCTTTAAAAAAAAAAGGGACGCCTGGGTGGCTCAGTCAGTTAAGCAGCTGACTCTTGATTTCAGCTCAGCTCATGATCTCAGGGTCCTGGGATCGAGCCCCAAGTCAGGCTCTTCACTTAGTGGGAAGTCTGCTTGCCTCCCTCTCCCTCTGCTTCTCCTCCTGCTCACTCTCTCTCTTTCTCAGATAAATAAATAGATCTTTTCAAAAAAAGGGGGGGGCAAGAG